CATCGTATTCAGCATCAAAAAGAACATTTCAAGATCTATCCTGAATTACAACGCTCATGGTGACAGGATAATATCCATATACCTACAAGGAAGAACAGTTAATACAACTATTATTCAATTTATACACCAACCATAAAGAAAAACATGAAGAAATTGAAGATTTTTACAAACTTCTGTAGTCTGAAACTGAACAAACATGCAATCAAGATGCACTGGTGATTGGAATGCGAAAGCTGAAACAAAGAAAGATAGGTAGCTAGAAAACATGGTCTTGGTGACAGAAACAACACTGGAGATCAAATGACAGAATTTTTCAAGACCACCAAATTCTTCATTGCAAATACCTTTTTTAAACAACATAAATGGTGGCTATACACGTGGAACTCACCAGATGGAAGGCATAGGAATCAAATCGACCACATTAGTGGAAAAATACAATAGAAAAGCTCAATATCACCAGTCAGAACAAGGCCGGGGCCGACTGTGGAACAGATCATCAGTTGCTCATAAGCCACTTCAAGTTGAAGATGAAGTAATTAGAATAAGTCAACAAGAACCAAAGTACGACGTTGAGTACATCCCACCTGAATTTAGAGACCATCTCATGAATAGATTTAACACACTGAACACTAATGACCAAAAAATACTTCCAGCCCTGGAAAAGGCCCACCAAATTACGTAAAGTTGATTCATGACACAGCAAAAAATGCAGGGCAATGACAGAAAGAACATACACTTCAATATTTGGGGTAGTTTCAACTAAATGAAGTCCCAGAATGACATAAAGGTTAAGTGCTCGGCTACGAACCAAAAGGTTGGCGGATTGAGTCTACCCACAGGCACCTCTGATATAAGGACTGGCAATCTACTCTTAAATACTTGGTGTCATTACTATCACTGAGAATCGATCCTGGGGTTACTAGCTTTTTAATTAACTAGCTAATTAAAATAATTAATATATTCCATTGTATTCAATATGCAAAATAAATTTCAAGTAAATTAGTGTTAAATACGAAAAAGTAAAATCATAGTATTTTCAGAAGTCGTAAACAAATAATTTTATTACCGTATTTTTACACATATAACACATGCATTATAAGGTTTTTGCAAACCGCGTAACCCCTCTGCAGGTTATTTTCATAAGCTCACTATACCAATATTTTTTCACATGTTGATGACGCAGATGGAAATTCTCAAACATGGAGGCACTCATTACAGGACAGGAATGGAGAGATCAACATGCATTCCCAGGAAGAAGAAGGTGCCAGGATATAAAAATTTGTTCCTGAGAAGAATATGCAAAACTGAATCATCTGGTGCCTCTCATCTAAATGTTAACGGCACTCCCTCCTAGCAAGGTCTTTACATTTCAAAGGAGTTCAAACTGAAGGTGATCTTATCTACAATTAATCAATTATTAACCCCTTACCTTTCTTTTGTTCTCTATGTATAAAGACCTCTCTCTCCCCTTAAATGATGAAGCACTTTGTATTTTTACTTAGTTTACTTCGTGCTTCCCAGCTGGAAGGAGCCCTGGTGGTGTGGTGGTTAAGCACTGGGCTGCTAAGCGAAAGCTTGGTGGTTCAAACCCACCAGCCGCTCCATGGGAGAAAGATGTGGCAGTCTGCTTCTGTAAAGATTTACAGCCTTGGAAATCCCATGGATAGTTCTACTCTGTCCTATATGGTCGCTATGAGTTAGAATGGATTCAACAGCTGTGGGTTTGGCCCACCTCGAGCTATTTTATTTCTCAAACAACTCCTTTCTTTTACTCCTCAAATAACTCCTTTCTTTCACTCCTAACAGAGTACAAGATTTAATTCATTGACGTTGATTTCAATTTCAATTTTTTTCTGTCCAACAAATTTAATGTTATACCTTTATCATACAAATATGACCATAAGTAACATTTTCAGACTATTGAATGAGAGTGAATACGGCCAAAATTCCCTTTTGGAAATGTCACAAGACATGTCCAGGATATGAATGGGCATGCTATGCCAGAACTTTTTTATGTAACTTCGTCATTTACACGTGTTACATGTGTATGCAGGGGGCACCATTTGCAAAAAATACAGTACATTAGAATAGAGAAAAAAATTCTTAAGAGTAAGACATAAGGAGAGAGACAAATTCAAATATATTAAATTTACAACTATTCATCAAAGAACAGAAAAAACGAGTGGAAAAATAAGCTACATACTAGGTGAAAAATTCCCAGTTTGTAAAGACCTAAAAAATCACAGAGATATAAATTAACAGTACGATAATATGCATAGCCTTGTCCATAGTGGAATAGTGGAATGTAATTACAGAATAAAATCCAAGTAAGACACTATTCCATACTCTTTACAAGAATAAAAATTAATTCATTAGATAAGTAGATGGAACAAACAAAATACATATGCATACTCGGTGGGAGGAAAAAGTTGTAAAATGCATCACTATTTCCTATTCAATGTGAACATGGCTATGATCTGCAACTCATCTACTTCCCCTCACTGCAGAGCTATTGTGCAGGAGTACATGGAGCCTGGTACAGGAATGAACAGAAGACAAGCAGCAATACTCACAAGAGAAAAATTACACTTGAACCACCCCAAATCCTGTAAGCTGTACAGTGAATAGTTAAACCATGGCCCATTCAAACAATACAGAGAACATGCATACATAGGCACATGGGTAGACTAGAGCTAGACACCAACATGTATAAAACTCAAAAGCACCCAGAGGAAAACAAGCCACTGAAGAACCCACACGAACTTATAATTGAATTTACATGAAGCTCAAAAGAGGCAAATCTAAACAATATAGAATTTACAAATTGAAACTTGGGTGGTAAAGCTTACAACAATAGCAATGATCATGGTAATGGTCATAAACTTCTAAAATACAGACAGTAACACTCTGCAGGCAGGAAGGGATGAGATCAGGGTGAGACACACTGGGAGGCCATAAAACCTGACCAAGGTCTATTTATAAATAAAGACTCAGATTACTATTTAAATTACACAGAAAAAGTTTTATGCACTCTTTGTTTCTGATATAATTGACAATAGAAAGTTTAAAGCATTATTTAAAACACAAAAAATATATAATTTTCATATATTAATTAAAGTCATGAAAACTCCTTCATTTTGATTTTACTCATCTTAGTTAAGAAGAGCTTTTATACCTAAACTACTGATACCCGGTTCTTACAAATTACATTTATGTTCACTAGAACAAGCTTTGTAAAAGCAAAATAATGGCCACAATCCAAGTGTCCATTCATGGCAATGTGGTTGAAAACAACAACAAAACTAAGATGAATCATATACTGTATTCTGGAGTTTTATAAGAATTTAAATTACAGCTTGTTATGAAAACATCACCGAAATAATTTGTTCATTAAAATAAGTGTAAATTCCATGCTACCTTTTGCATAACAAAGTAGGGGAAATAAAAAATTTTTATTTATATTTGCTTGGTTTTATATAAACACTGGCAAGATGCTTCAGAAAAAAAGAAAGCTGGTTATTTAAACGTAGCCGGGGAAAGAGGGATGGGCTGGATGACGACAAAAACTGAACTCTTCATAAAATATACTTTTAAAGTTTACATTCAGTTTTCAAATTTGAAGGTACTGTCTATTGGAAAAACATAATTTCCATAAACTATACTGTACTTTTAAACGATAAAAATCTAATACAACATTAAGTGCTCTTATTAAACTAGAAATTCACACTCATAATAATAAAAACTATGTAAATGTACAACAGTCATTAAATGGGCTAATACACCTGGGCAAATCGCAGAAGTATAAATTAGAGCTCTCTTTCTAAACACAGTAACCAAGGATATCAGAGTGTGTATGTCCATTTTATCTTAACCAGGAGAACGTTTCCAAAATGGCTAAAATATTTAACGTTAAGAGTTCTGGTATGACTTGTTAAATGTAATAAAACTCTTTAAGGACTTTCTCAAGATTTAAGTAAGTTTTAGAGTAACTTTTACATCACTTAAAGCAGGCATTCCGTTGCAACTGTTACAAAACAATGTGTATAAATTTTTGTATGACAAATTTTTAAAAAAGGCATTCCTCTGTATCTAAAAAGTTTATACCCATTAAACTGAAAAATTCTCTACAGAAACACACCAAATGATCTAGAAATTTTTTCAAGCGGAAACTAAACCCAACAACTTCTATACAAAAAGAGAACACATTAATTTTAAATTCCAATATAAGACTATCCAGAGCAGTCAAAAATTACAGGGATTTAATACCAGCTCTCGGAATAGGGGGGAGGTCAAGGACATACATTGGAGACTCATGTTTTCTACACAATTGAAAGCCTCAAGGTAAAAGCATTCCCCACTGAAAAAAAAAAGATGGAGTTGAAGACCCCATACATGATCCAGCTGGACTTATTATCCCAACGTTCATACCTTTGGTGAGGGCCTGAGAGCACCAAGTCCCACCTAGGGACCCATGAACAGTCATGGCCTTCTCCTAGGAACAATCTCCTCCCATATTACCCCCTCACACAGAGTGAGAGGTGGAGCTGCAGTGTTAGAACTGCACTGAAAAGGCTGCAGTGCCTGACGGAAGCCAAGAATACTGTTTGCAGTGATGGGAAAGGATGGTTCTGGAGGGCCTGGGGCTCAGCCTCAGCCAGAACCGCTCTGTTTTCAGACTCTGGTCAGGAAATTATCATTTAACACAGAGCACCAAAGCCCAGAGTGGGATGTTAATGCTCCATGGTGGCAGCTAAGTGTCACATAAAGAGGTAACCACAAGCATCCAAATTTTGAAAAACGTTACGTATAGATGAAGCATCCACGGACAGTGGAGCAGGGACTTAGGATGCCTCCTAGGGCTCAGTCCCTTGGTCTCTTCTGCTACCTTTTTACCTCACTGAGGAACCTTAGAGCTTGCAGCACACAGGTGGTCCCCAAACAATTCCTATCAAGCCTCACTCTCTCACAGCAAGAATAACCCAGCTCCCCGCAGTACTCACCATTCCCTTGCTCCAGCTTCTGGATGTCTAAGTGAATTTCGTCTCTAGGCCCAAGAAGCCATTTAAGGTAAGAGGGATGGGAGTGGAGGCAGGGCCGCTGGGCAGCCTGGAGACAGATGAATGTTTGGTCCACGCAGCCAGTTAAAGCAGTTCATATCCTTACTTGTGATTTACGGATGTGTGAAATGGTCGCCCTAGGTCCCCAGTTGCCTAGACTGGACTAGTTCTCCCTGTGCCACACCTGAGACCTGAAATGGAAGGAGATGGAGGAAGAGAGTGTTGAGTAAGGAGGAAGTGACATCTTGGCCTGCAGCTCTTTCCTAAGGGCTTTCTTCCAGGCTCAAGGTGATGATGCACCCTGAGAGCATTTGCATTTAAGGCAGAACAAGCTCCAGACTTCCAGAGCACACAACGTTATTTTTCAAACAGATACATAAGCCTCTTCCTTCTGGCAACAAGATCACACATGGAGAAATTTACTCTTAAGAGAATGAAAAGCATGCAAGCCTGGCCTGGCTAGAAAACATGAACCTGATTTCCTGCAGAGATTCAGAGGTCCAAAGTTAAGGTTGATGGTTCTCCTACAAAACTCTGCACCGTGTAGACCAACACACACACTTTTATTTGATGTTGACATGAGTAAATTTTCAGGAAAGATATATTTTCTAGGTTTGTCGATGAAATCATATGTTATTTTTAATTGTATCAGTAAAAACTCTTCTGTGCTTTAATTTGTTAGTTTTCATTTCATTTATAGCACTGTAATAGGTGATCAGTATTTTTCAGATAGAACTTAAGTGAAAGCAAAGAATACCAAAAAAGTGTTTACCTGTGTTTTACTGACTATGCAAAGCCATTCAACTGTGTGAATCATAACAAACTATGGATAACATTGCAAAGAAGGGGAATTATAGAATACTTAATTGTGTTTATGAGGAACCTGCACATAGACCAAGAGGATGTCATTCAGACAGAAGCGGATACTGAGTGGTTTAAAGTCAGGAAAGGTGTGAGTCTGGGTTGTATCCTTTCACAGTACTTACTCAATCTGTAGCTGAGCAAATAATCCTAGAAGCTAGACTATATGAAGAAGAACGAGACATCAGGACTGGAAAAAGACTCATTAACAACCTACAATATGCAGATAACACAACCTTGCTTGCTGAAAGCAAATAGGACTTAAAAAGCTTACTGATGAACATCAAAGACTACACCCTTCAGTATGGATTCCTCCTCAACATAAAGAAAGCAAAAATCCTCCCAACTAGACCAATAAGCAACATCATGATAATACTAAAAATACTAAAGGTGTCAAGCATTTTATTTTACTTGAATCCATAAGCAATGCCCACGGATGCAGCAGACAATAAATCAAATGATAGTCCAACAAATTTGAAAACCTAGAAGAAACAGACACATTTCTAGAAATACACTACCTACTAACACAAACTGAGGTAGAAAAATAAAACAGACCCGTAACAAGAGATTGAAGAGGTAATAAAAAAAGCTCCCAATTGAAAAAAGCCCTAGGGCAGCCTCTGTAGCTCCCAGTGGGCCCTACAAATCTCTGGCTCTCTCCCCCACCACGCCTCGCCCACTCGCTTGGGGCACGCGCAACACCTTGCGCGGGTGAACCCATTTAGTGAAGCTCCCAGCAAGAGGACTGACTGACGCTATAGTTACGCGTCGGGCCTGAGAAACTCCGGACAAGTCCACAGAGCTGGATCTTGGGGAGGCGCCGGGCACATCTCAGAAAAGTGTATGAGGGGGGGCATGGTCAACATGGCAGAGTAATTAGACGCTTCCTATATCCCTCTTACAACAAAAACCTGGAAAAACAAGTGATTCGACTGAACATCTGCGAGCCCTGAACAAGAAAAGGTTAAGAAATCCGTCCAAGTGATATGGGAGAAGGAGACCGTTTGGAAGAAGGAGGGCCAGAACCGTAGCGGCGAAACTGCAGCTCCGCAGCCACGCCGTCGGTGAAGCAGGCAAACAGCTGTACAGTGCGTGCTCGGGAAGCAGTTTCCACATCGACAGAGACCTGGAAGCAAAGATTCTGTTTGGACACTCCGAACCAGTAAAGAGCAGCTCCCAAGAGGATAAGTACGTGCGTGCACCCTTTCGCAGGGATTAAAAGAAAAAAAAAAAAAAAGCCCATTTGGGAAAAACCTCTTTTACATCCTCCCTCTGCGCTCTGCACAGGGAGTCCGCTGGGCCGGAAGTAGATCCCAAAAGGGGCCCTGACCCATTCTCCAGGCCTTGGAGAGGGAACAAATGAGCTGCTAGCTCCCCTAGGCCAGGAACGAACACAGGGACAGCACAGCTCCTTTGCTGGGCACAGGTATCAGGGATCCGCAGACTCTGCCTTACAACCCTGTATAGACATGTGGGGACCCATCTCAACAGCGTTAGTCCCCACTGCCACAGTGCAACAGGGCGAACATCTGAAGTGTAACTTCAACTGCTTCAGCTGTGAACTGGCAGATTTGTGACCCTTGAAAGAGCCCTGCCCCTTAAGCAGGCACTTTTATCTATCTGCAGCAAGGGCTTGAGGACTGGTGGTAGCACCTAAAGTGCCTAGTCACCTGCTACAGGAGTCTAAGAAAAAGTGGTGTCCTCGAGTCTTTACAGCCAACAGAGTGGGGTGCTCATAGTCCAGCTACAAAAGTCACCTACCTACTCACCCTAGAGAAAAGGGACATGCTTTCCTTTCAGACTCTCAGGGGCAGCTGTCAGCCCCCTGCCTGGCTCAGTGTGTGATCCCCTACCACAGCCAGAGTCCAGTGCCTGCGCCAATCACCCATGCCTCTCTAGGACTGGGGATGAGAGCCTGTATCACACACTTGGTGACTGACTGCCTGAACATCTGAGCTGAACCCGTATAGGAAAATTTAACAGACTCCTATGTGCACATATTTAGTTACAGAACAAACTACCTGGTGACAGGACTTTAGAAATCTAAAGATGTCAAATATCAAACTAGTACACATGAGCAGCTTATTTGGGCATATCAAAACAAAACAAGAATCTAGGTCTCACTAAGCAAATACAAAATAAAACTATAATAAATTATTGATAGCTCGGAGACAGCAGTCAATAACAAGTTACATAAAGAGGCAGTCCATGATGGCTTCAGCAAGCTCCCAAAATAAAGCATCAATCAATTCTCTGAAGGAAGACAATTTCTTGGAATTACCAGAGGCAGAACACAAAAGATTAATATACAGAACTCTTCTAAAAATAAAAAAATTCAATAGAATACAGCAAGGGAACATACAGACACAGGAGTAGTGGAACTTAAAAAAGTTATTCAAGAACATAATGCCAAATTTAATAGGCTGCAAGAATCCATAGAGAGATAGCAATCAGAAATCCAGAAGATTAACGATAAAATTTCAGAATTACACAACTCAATAGAAAATCACAGGAGCAGAATTGCGGCAATAGAAATTAGAATTAGTGACATTAAAATAAAGCTCTTGACGCCAACTTATCTGAGGAAAAATCAAATAAAAGAATTAAAAAGAATGAAGAAACTCTAAGAGTCATGTGGGATTCTATCAAGAGAAATAACCTATGAGTGACTGGAGTACCAGAACGGGGGGATAACACAAAATTGTTGAAAATTTGTTGACAGAAAACTTCCCTGATATCATGAAAGATGAGAAGATATCTATCCAAGATGCTCATCAAACCCCACATAAGACAGATCCCAAAAGAAAGTCACCAAGACATATTATAATCAAATTTACCAAAAACAAAGATACAGAGAGGATTCTAAGAGCGGCTAAAGATAAAAAAAAAAAGTCATCTACAAAGGAGAGTCAATCAGAATAAGCTCGGACTACTTAGCAGAAACTGAGCCACCTAGAAGGAAATGGGATGACAGAAAGCATTGAAGGAAAATAACTGTCAGCCAAGAATTATACATCCAGCAAAACTGTCTCTCAAATATGACGACGAAATTAGGGCATTTCCAGATAAACAGAAGTTCAGGGAATTTGCAAAAACCAAACCAAAATTCCAAGAAATACTAAAGGGAGTCCTATGGTTAGATAATCAATAACACCAGATAACAACACAAGACTAGAACACAGGACAGAGCAACCAGATATTGACTCAGATATGGAAATACATCAAAGCTAAAAGATCGAAAATAGAAAAACAGATATCAATATATAAAAGAAAAGATAATATTAAAACAAAAAAAAGAGGGACTTAAAAAACGGAAACATTGATTTTCTATATGGAGAAGTTAAGGCGATATAAACTAATAAAACACTGCTATAAACTTAGAAAAATAAGGGTAAATATTATGATAACCACAAAGAAATCTAACAATCCTACAAATCAAAATTAAAAAGTAGAAAAACATAACGACCCAGCAAACACAAAATCTACAAGGAAAAGATGGAAAAAAATACATAAAGAAAAACTCAGCACAGAAAATTGAGAACAAAGAAACTGTGAGCAAGACACAAAAAGAGATATCAGGATGAAAGCACTAAACTCATACCTATCAATAATTACGCTGAAGGTAAACGGACTTAATGCACCAATAAAGAGACGGAGAGTGGCAGACTGGATAAAAAAGCATGATCCATGTATATGCTGCCGACAACAGACGCACCTTAGACTTAAAGACACAAGCAGGCTAAATCTCAAAGGATGGAAAAAACATATCAAACAACACTCAAAAAAGAGCACAGTGGCAATATTAATCTCTGACAAAATAGACTTTAAAGTAAAATCCACTACAAAAGATAAAGAAGGGCACTACATAATGATTAAAGGGTCAATACACCAAGACAACATAACTATAATAAACATTTACGCACCCAACAACACGGCTCCAAAATACATCAAACAAATTCTAACAGCTCTGAATCAGAGAGAGATAGACAGCTCCACAACAGTAGTAGGCAACTTCAACACGCCACTTTCAGTGAAGGACAGAACATCCAGAAAGAAGCTCAACAAAGACACGGAAGAGCCAAATGCTACAATCAACCAACTCGATCTCATAGACATATACCTAACACTGCACCCAACAGCAGCCAAGTATACTTTCTTTTCCAACGCACACAGAACATTCTCCAAAATAGACCACGTATCAGGCCATAAAGCAAGCCCTAACAAAATCCAAAACACTGAAATATTACAAAGTATCTTTTCTGACCATAAAAATGGAAATCAACAACCCAAAAAGCAAGCAAAAAAAAAAAAAAAACAAACACATGGAAAC